CGTGAATCATGATGCGTTGGGTTAGGATAGTTTGGTGGAAGTGGGGCCCACTGATGGTGGAGTTGTTGAGAAATGTCCACATTTCCCTTAATGAATGAACAAATATTGACTTTTTTTATGACCGTTGGATCTTCAGATTTCATGGTTACGATATATTCCTATTTCTCGCATTAAGAGTCATTCTCACCGGATCCCAACCCTATATATATATATATATATACACATTTGGTCGAAATATCCAAACTTTTAAAAATAAAATAAATCCATTGAAGTGTATTGCTAATATTGGAACCAAACATTATAGCTCGGTCGGGTTTGGTCAATGGTGTGCAATTTGACAGTTATTAATGTGTGATTCATTTAATACTATTGTGCATGATTTTTCGGTCGCTAGTGTGCATTGTGAAACAATCGAATACCAACCCAAATTACAATTTCGGTTAATTGAACTAATCAAACTATCTAAAATAAAATATAGTCTACATCAGGAAAGTATAATTAGTTTTTTAATTTTATAGTTAATATTTTTATATTATATTTTGACTAAAAATAATATTTTTTTTTTATATAGTTTGGTCGGTTGTGTTATTTCGGTTATTTTATCTAAATGTAAATCCTGCTACCAAAATAACCAAAATTTTAAAAGTGAACACATATAATCAAACCGAAATATAGGAATCCGAACAAAAAAAATTACTTCAATCAATTTCGACTGCTATAACGTGTTATAGCAGTCCAAAACTAATTAATGTGCAACGTGTCTTATACTAGTGTGCACTCATGTTGCTGTCATTTTTAATACTCTGTCTAAATCTAATCAGGCTAAAACTAGAATGAAATAATCGGTTTATTCGTTGGGTTAACCGAATTAAACTAAACAATCGAAATTATTTATAATTTATATTATGAAATATAACTAATATTTTAATATTCATATTTTATATTTTATTTTATGTTTTGTTTGAAAATTTCTAATATATATAAGAAATATAAAAATATATTATTTTCTTATATAGTTTGGTTGGTTTTTATTATTTAAAAAAATAAAGAAGACATTCAACCGAGATAACTGATTTTTTAAAATGAAAACAGATGATAGAACCAACCTGTAAAAATTCGATCCAAAAATTTAGTTTAATCAGTGTCGTCTATTATTGTGCACTGTATCAGTCATTAATGTGCATTTGGTATAACACTATTGTGCACTCGCATCGCAATTATATTTAATATTAATATACATAATATATTGTGCATTTTATTTATGATTAATAAGTATTTATTAAACTTTCTATAAATTTCAAATTTGGCACATGAACCGAATTGAAATAAAATCAAATTTCATTAAATTGCAACTAAGCCCTTGAAGATTATCTATTTTTTTTTTAAAAAAAATGCCTAAATTCCCAAACTGTTCTTCTACCACCAATGTGTACGCGTCACCTTGTTCCGGCAGCCGACATCCGGCGTCGCTGTTGACGGCGTAAATTATCCCGTCGACAAGAGAACCACTATAGTGCTAGATGAAGTT